TCGCCTTCGCTACAGATATACTCCGTGCACGGTATCGTGCAAGACTGCCTTAGCAAACAGATATGACATGGTTGTTGTTATTATTAGTAACGGATGCGTTTATTATTATTATCAATGTATTATATTTTATGTGTGTGTACTGTTACAAATGATGCACATACGTTTAGACGGAGGGAGTCTAAGCGTCGGCAGTAAACTTCAGCGACAACACCGCCATCATCGAACAACTGAAGCTGAACCGTTTGGGAAACGCTAGAAAACGCTTAGGCATTGTTTCAAATGAACAGGGCATTGATCCAATCTTTTTTATTGAAGGGCTTCGTAAATTGTGGAGGGGAAAAGGGTTTAGTGCTGATGAATTTGATTATGTCGTAAACATTCTGCCCTCCATCCCTCCCGACCCCCGCGACACAGTGAGCGTAGGCATAATAAAAGATCCCTATCTGCAGGGTCACTGTTCACGTCCTCCTCTTCGACAACTCAAAACCTATACACGAAAGCTTCGATTTCACCCAAGTAGAACCCTTCAAGGTAATTAAGTTAGCCTCACGCGATTGACAACTCCTTTTTCAAAAGCTCACGAAAGAGCTTAGAGCCAATGTAATAGCTTTACCCTTAGCGGAAAAAAGCAGTACTTCCCCATTGGCGAGTTCGTCTGTAAGCAGCTATAGGTAAAAATCATCGGGACTCATTGTTACAAATAGAATCGAAACGTGCGACTCCACCTTTGTTAGTAATTCGTATCTAAATTAAATCATTGCCAACAAACTCATTGACGGCCGCGCCCATTTTAGGCGTGCTATGTACTAGACTATAGTCCTTTGTTGGCACGGCGTTGTTCTGCGTACGAGTCTATTTATTACGTAATTCGAAAACCGTACACTATCGTCACAAGAACGATTTGGAAAAGGCCCTTTACATTATAGCTAAAACAGGCTCCCGGAACCTAACTCTTATTACGAAGCAGTTTTTTTTCTTTTCTTTTCTTTTCGAACTAGCATCATTTGATACTACTGGATAGCGTAATATTTTCTTTAGTTTATTTAATAGCAATACGGGTAAAGATAAAATACCGTTCCAATATAGATGTTCATTGTTCTCGTCTCTGTTTCACATACTTCACACTACGACCAAGACATTGACAATGCGTTTACGTGTTAAATAAGGTAATAAAGTTAGAGGCTTTTTTCTTTCCGCTATTTTATAAATTCGGTGGCGACAGCACACCGAAGCAAAGATTATATCGTATCATAAGGAATGACTATGGCCATGTTTGGAAAGATGAAATATGTTGCAACAAATTGATAGCTAAACGTCCAGTCTGAATGTAAATTGTATGTGGGACACTTAAAGCTGACTGAATGCAGATAGGCCAAGTATTATCAGACCAAATAATTACGACCTGGTTAAAAATGGATACTTTCATGTAGGACGGGCGGGCGGGCACCATTAGATGTCCACTTATTTAAACAGCGATATGTGATCAAGAACAATAACATTTGATACGATCAGCGAAGCCAGCAGAAGCCGGCGACAGGTCCTTTGCGAGGGAGAACGAAGAAGCGATAGCGAATGCGTTTGATGATAGCCCGCATATTGCTTCATCACCTCACGAGCAGTTGTTCGATGGTAGAGGAACGCTATTTAATCGCATGTTTTTACGGTTTACGTAAGTGCTCTTTCGATAACTGAATGTGCAGAACAGGCAGATATGAAGGCAGGCAAGCGCTGATTGTCGGGCTACTAAACAAACCTCCATTTTAGGCTGTGGCTTAAACGAACCTCACTTTAGGTGCATGATGCTAGCTTAGCGCGATTATGACTCAGGATACATGACAATGGTCCGCGGTTTAAACCTCGATCAGGTAGTACTTTGTTTGCTCTTTCCAAAATGTCATGTACAGAAGCACGGACTTGTATCGCTGAAGACTTCTGCAGGTCCGTTTAAACCGAAACACTAAAATCCAATTGTGTGCCAACACTGACACATGGATTATACATACATGATATTATTCAGGTGCCCTCAACAAACATTGATTCATCCGGCATCCGACACACCCGGGCAGTTAAAAACAATCGTCACTGGCCTACTGAAAAACAGTAATAACAAGAAGAAGAAGAAGAAGAAGCGTGTTCTATTTGAAAGTTCTTTTTAGTTAGCTAAAAATTGCCCAAGCATTGGAAAATATATTCAATTGACTGCCGCCAAGAGAGGCCATATTGGTCACGCTTAGCTTTGTGAAATGTAAAGGCCTAATAGCTTAGAGCGTAGTTCTTTGCCTAGTGTAAATTCTATCGCGCTTCGCGCAATCTCGAACTAAGGTTTTTAGCAGTGGGCAAAAACTAAGCCTCTAACTAGGTGCTACATAAAACCGGCGTTCGTCTTATAATAACTACTGCCGGAAAGCGTATTGCTCTCCGAATACACGCGGGTATATAGTAGGTGATTGGCGATGGTCAGAGCGAATTTGTTTCGCCCGGTGGGCTTAGCCCGTACGTAGCCGAATCAAGCCGCTCAATCGCTTAACGGTTGCAAGAGTCTGCTCTGACCGATCTGTGATTGGTCGACTCATTCAGCTTCACTTCCTACTTTCCTTTCCTGATATCTCTTTTCCCCATAGGGTTCCCCAATTTGCGTGGTACTTCGGTGTTTGAAGTAACGACGCTTTCCCGCATCATCATAGTACGCATCTACCACGGGTCTGATCATTTCAGTTCGACGATGGCCGTCAGCAACGGCCAACGAATTAAGCCCCGCTTGGTGGAGGCAACAAAGAACGATGGTGATACTACTATAGACTGCTACTATACGACAGTTAAAGCCAGAAATAACTAGAATTCGATTTTGAGTTTTTGCCGTTGTTGCTACGGCCGCTGCCGTCATTCGTCTCTCAGTCTTCTATGAGCAAACAAATAAAAAATGAGCCTTTTTGGAATTTCGATCATGATTTTCGTTATTAGGACCCGGCAGCTGAGATCGACGAGGGCGGTTCCGCGGTCTCAGTTCCCTTCCACGCGAATTGAAATCACCCCCCAAAAAACACTTGTCCGTCCAACATAACACATGTGCTTTCGAGCTAATCAGTGAGTTATCTCATAACTTCCTTCAAGGTGTCGGTGTTGCCGATTGCCAAACTTACATACGTATCTAGTTTTGATCGACTGGCGTAACATAGTCTATAGATAGGTACTTCTATAACAGAGATACATCGAATACAAGCCAACTTAAAATACCTTTCGAAAAATCTAATTTCTAGCTACATGATTACAGTCCGCTAAGTATATTACATAATTACTAATCGTTTTCACGATCAATATTTGATCCGCTGGATCTTATTCAGGTCATTGTACGTCGAGCCTAAACAAACGAGAACGATCGTATGTGTGCAATAAAAATCTAGACAGGTGGTACGGAGTGTCCTATGGTTAAGGACAAGCTGTAGCATCCTAGTAATGGGCACCCTTTGCTACGCGCATAAGATGAGATCTTCTGCAACTCTTATACGTGTATATCATAGCATTATTAAATAGCGACAGTGACAGACAGTAGCAAAACTCCCGTCTGCCGGTTGACTGAAGTGTCTTCATCCTGATAACGAGGCTATCCGTTCCACTAGGTCTCAGGTCTAAGGAAATCTCCTGGACATCATCACGTCACCATTCGACGCTCTTCTCAGCAGCGATGGCGGTAATTTGGATGTTATTTTACTACTAAGGATGTACATCTATCTGTAGATCCTAAGCGAACGCTAGAGTAGTCAGCCACTTGTAAGCGCCCTCCGGCCGAATCTTATCGGATCCTCTAATACATTCCGCGTTGCTGACGCCTCGGTGGCTGAAGCTTGTAGATGCTTAGCAGCCCGATAGGGGTGTGATGGAACGAGCAGCAATATTAAGATAGGCATCAGTGGCAGAGTGAGATGACGGACGCTAACACGCAAATAAATGTATATGTCTTGTTGTAGCTTTTATTACTCCTATACACAATCAGTTCTTGCAGTCACAATGATTTTTTTCTCAAGCTACTATGGGTCGTTTACACAGATCACATCTGACACGAATTTGTAAACAAGAATTATAAACAAAAAAAAAAACCACTCAGCCAGGCGCAGTTGCATTATATCATTCCATGAAAAACCCCAACGATGCTTGTCTTATCGTTGCGGTTGAAATATGTTTATCAAAATATGTGTGTACGTATTGTAAAGTGTCTCTGAATAAGACCATGCATCTGTCCTCTTAAAATTAATTCTGCAATGTTTAGGAACCGTGTCGTCTTCACTAGAATAGATTGCAGAATGATTTCTTTTCACGCCTATTTTTAAGGTACATATAGGGTTACCGTCATCCGTACCCGCATATTCAAAGGATTTAGGGCCATTGTTCCGTTTTGAAAGTAACGCCAGGTAATAGACAGAGATTCGGGGAATATATAATTAGTTCCTGGTTCGTGGTACTCGTTGCAATGCACAGTCTACGATTTTAGTTTTAGAAAGTTCCATGGCGGAAATGTCTAGTTGTTTGACGATACGAGTGACGCACCAATAAACTGCAGGTGGATTTTCGCCCTTTATTCTACAAATTGATGTAGACTGCTTTGAAGGGTTCTTTCGATGTTGAGGCTCAGCAAAGAGCCCGCAGTAGAGAACGCTGATCCCGGCGGCTGTAGACAAGCAAATCGGTAGCTTATTTGTGCCAATCGGGTGCTTATTTGCGTAATAGCCAATCCAACAACACGGACTGCCTAGGATGCGGGCCTTTTGGGCTTATTGCCTAGTTTTTCTGGTTACTGGTATTTTGTCGTTATCTTTTATGTCTTCTCTTCTTTTTCGATAGTTTGTTTGTATCGAAACGTCTTTATTTCACTCTGCATCTGTCAGCATTTGCACTTTCTGCGACATATGGTACTATTAATTGTATACAGTCGTCAGATTAGAAAAATATAGTGTTGCTATCCTTATTCCCGTCAACATTGCGGCTGACGTTAGACATAATGGTACCTGTATTCTTGATTCAGACAAATCGAGGCGGAGCGCGAGAGCTTCTCGAAGAAATACGTCAGGATAATGCGATATTTGGAAGGCCTTCTCCAACTCTTCTAACTGCCATGCGTTAAAATTTGTGCGACACCGCCGTTGACGCGTTTCCAGGTCAGATTCGGTCTCTGAAAAATCAACAGACAAACGAAAGGTTCTTGGGTTATTCAATTAACTGTATGCAATCGGAATCGCGAAATAAGGGTAAACTTCTTTCAAGTTAATCTTTCAGAAAAACAGATCGAAAGTTAATCCTGATCCTAATCTACTTAATTCACAGAGCTTATTCAAATCAAATTTTGTTTCTTTATTTATGTCAACATTCATTAAAGTATCTAGAATTCTCTTCTATTTACATGGCTCTTACTAAAAATGATATTTATCTGTGGAAGTTTATTTTTTCTGGCAACTTTACCATCTGCACAGGACTATATAACATGGAAACTATTACGGTGATTGAACGAAATGGGTCTCGATGCCTGGATGCACTAAATGTAGAGTGATTCGTTCAACAATCCCATTGATACCTATGTCGTACGCGACAAGAAAACAAATCTAAGAATAGCGATCAAAGTCGATTTTTTAGTTGGAAAAAAATTATATATATATATA